GTGGAAGTCTTCCACGGGTCAGCTCGTTCTGTATCATTCCGCTTGGGATATACAGGAATTCATGTACATGAGCGGCTAATCTGTCGTTCTGTCATTCCGAAAAAATTCTCCCAAACGGATGAACGGATTTTAATAATCGAGGTGTCGATCGAAAGCTCGCGACCTAGAGGCGATACTTATTGGGTCAAAAGTCCAAAAAGTACACTGCCATCGTGGTTTCTACGTGTTGTTCTGCCTTTATGCGCGTCAGAGACTGCACGAGTTGACAGTTCCGAGTTGAAACTCGATCGGCCCAATTCGACCCAATTCGAACACGGCCCGCTTAGGCCTCTAAGATTGAGGACTCCAGGTCTCTTTGACCCAAGGGGAGACGAAGAGATCCTCGCAGATCTGCGCATAAACGCGTTTTCGGGTGGAACGGTTCAGAATGAACGGCATTCCGTGAAAGCAGAGAGAGGGTGGCGAAGCGTGCCTTTGGCATCGGAAACCGTGCAAGACAAATATATTGGGAAATCAGAAACTCGTGAAAATTTCCCTATAAGCCGAAAAAACCTCTTTCTTAGGGGTGGGTTGCGCGAAGTAGATGCCTGGCCATCTCTCATCGATAGGCATATACATAATGCATACGAGGATAATCTGTCTATGTCAGGGTGTCAGTTCGGGGAAGCTCCTCCTAGATGGATCAACGGATTTTCATGAGTGAGACGTCAATCGAAAACGTATGACCCGGTTCAAAAGTCCAAAAAAATCGTCCCATTTTCCTATATTAAGGCCGAATTTCGATCATTAGAAACATCATCATACCGAACGGTTCCCGGGCTGTGTCCTCACACATCATGACCCGCACCCAACCGGAAACAACTACCTCTGCCTATCCTCAACCTCGCTTCACACCCGATGCACGTGTCAGATCGATTCTCTCGGGTCAGATCGATTCTATCGAGCCGATCCGCATCCCGGTCAAGCTCAAAATATTCCCCTATTCTACCGGGCGTTCTTAAATTAGAACGACGGGTCTCATTTTAAGGCTAAAAAGTAGAACCCGGTTGAACAGTTACATTCAGACGATTGGGGTTTCCCTAAAGACGAAATGCATCTCCTTATAATTCATGGAAATAATGTCTCTTTAAATTCGAAAGTCGTATCGGTTTAGAATGCTATGCGATGGAACTCATTGGATATTGTTGTAAAGGTTCAAGGTTCAAGGTATTTAGTGACATCAAGAGGCGCCTACGCCCATTTCGATATCACTTGTCGAGATCGAGCGTTCATTAATTTTAGGGTAGGCCCAATCTTCTTAAAGCCAAATATGTTTATATATATGTGATTTTTTTTTTAGCGTATCCCATTTGCTTACTGTCTAGTCCCTAACTTCAACATTGCCCCCCACCTTTTTGCCTGTCTATTAAAGCGTCTAGTTTCTTTTTAAAAATAGTCACAGCGCGGGGCAGCCACGACTTCGTCATCTAACGCATTCCACGCTTCCATCACTCTGCAATAAAAGAATTCCCGTCTTGACTTGAGCCGCACCTGGGGTCTGCGCAACTTCAGTCGGTTACCTCTCGTTCTATTGCTGCCATCAAGCTGGAAAAACCTACCACACTCGACATTATCTATTCCTTTAATTATTTAGAAAGCCTGGATGAGATCGCCCCTCCTTAACCTTCGCTCCAGCGAGAACAGGCCCAGCACTTCTAGCAAAAGCTTCTTGTACGGAAGTCTTCTAACCTCCTTGATCATTCTTGTGGCCCTGACCCTTATTTGTAGGTCTCCAAAAATGGATCCAATATTCCAACTGGGGTCTTATCAGCGCCGCATACAACGGAAGAATAAGGAGTCCTAAGAGGAATATCCGAAGATATCTTTGGACTCGTACTTCTCGTTTTGCTGCAGTTCTTTGTCTCGAAACTTGGAAAGCAAACTCTGACTCGTGAGCAAAGATGAGGTAGTCGTATATTTTATTTGCTTGGAAATCGTCAACATGGCCCTGCAAGGAACCCTGCCCTTCATTTGAGTTAATATCCTTATTCGTAAAAGGTGTGGGTCAGACGACGACCTAAGAAGTAATGATAAATGCATCAGGCTCCTCTCCGAATCCAAAATTCAGAGTGCTGCAAGTCCCAATTTGCAATTGCTGATGAGTAGAAAATTATCTTCCAGAGACTCATTCTCTGAGAGCTGAAATCAATGGGCAGAAATGATAAGAAGGAACTGCATGTGACATTTGAAGGTTTCACACTGCCATTTGACACGAATGATTGATTCTGTAAAGAAAACAAGCTTAGAATTAGCATAGTTTTCCAAATTCCTTGTACTCCATGCCAGGTATGGTGTGCGAGAATGTCCTGCCTGAGTTTCGTGCAATGTTCTTTCAGATATTGGCACAATTTGTCTTTTTGTCTTTGTCTTTTTAAGAAGATAAATATTAATATTGAATACTTTGCTTTGCTTGATGGATGTGCACTAGGATGGGAGAGAAATAGCTTTTTTTCATCTTTGAAATAAATAAAAAAAATAGTATTAACGTGTCAACTTTGTCCACTTCGGAATTGAAACTACTTTGCAAAACATCATCTCAATCGGAAGATATTACAAGGTCACTCAAAGTACGTTTAGTTTTCGCCGTTATAGCACATACAGTATAGCGGAATGGAGTGGCAATCAGATTCCTCTCTGTTTTGCACTAGTTCCTCATTGTGGGTAGGGGTTCATATTTGCCAACCGTTATTATTGCTTAATTTCTCCACGCGTCTGATCCAGCATTTATTTGTTGCTTGTTTAAAATATTTTCCGTACCTTGTACCTTGTACCGGCTGTACCTTGATTAATTTAATCCATCGATTAATCGATTAAAGAGTCAATAGCATTTTGAAAATTATTCGAAATTATTTGAATTTTAATCTCCCCCTTAATCTCTCTCTGAATACCTATTTGCCCCCTTATGATTTTATCATATAATAATGTTTTCATCAATTAATCAATCGATTTAATTAATCGAATTAGCAGCCCTAATTTCCCATGGTACCGAACAAATTGGAGAACGAATTGTGTTCCACATATTTGGTGATGATAACTACCCATTCAGCAAAATCATTGGCGACCATATAAGATCGTTGTTTCTAACAGCACTCATGGACTCATGTTCAATGTCAATCCATGCAGAGCAGGGGTCGGGAACCTTTTTGGCCATGCGAGCCGCATTAAGATTGAGCCTAGTGCTTTTGAGTCAAAGATTTTCTAAACAACTGAAATTTCCCTGAACTTACGATCCTTTGCTGCATTAGAAAAATGAGAAAGTACCATGAGTTTTTCGCCATGACTCAATGAACCAAACTTTTCGGCTCGTGAGCCAAATTTGGCTCATGAGCCATAGGTTCCCGATCCCTGATGTAGAGGAAGAGTCAAGAAAAAAATAATTGGTCAGTATCGAGTGCAATGAATAAGAACATTAAGATTGGGGAACTGAAATCTCTCATTTCTTTCGTTTTCGGATCATGAACATGTTATTTTCAAGCTTCATGTTTTTCCTCCTTTCTTATCTTTCAAAAGATTTGATAGAGTGAGGGGTAAAGGATATGCTCTCTTAATATTTGACAGCAAGTCATATTTCGCTCCATCTGTGAC